TTTTCATTGTTTTTATGTTAAATGCGTTTTAATGTACAGAAGTTTCTCTCTGGTCACTGATCCCAAATTTTCTCAAATCCTCAAACTTGTTGGGGGCACAAACGTTTCACCTATGCTAACAAAACGTTTTGTACATCACTAACACAAACATTTCGTCTAAGGCAAATGTTTCATTCAAGCACACACACACACACACACACACACACACACACACACACACACACACACACACACACACACACACACACACACACACACACACACACTACCAAAATATTTCACCCAACCACACCAAATTGTTTCGTGAATTCCCCAAATCCAACTAATCAGGTAATGCTCCTTTTTTATCCAGCGTTCCTACATTGCCCAGTATTACATGAAAAAGGTTCCATGCCTGGGGATCCAACGTTTCGAACAGGTTGTCTGTTGCCACGAGAAAAGAGTTTCGGACACAGTGAAACCTTTAGTGTTGCATTGTGGTGAAATTAAAGAGCGAAACAGCAAAAGTGAGGCCATCTGTTGGTGAAGTTTTACCCCTTGATGTTTTGTTCCTATAAATAATGGGATTTTTACCCCCCCCCCCCCCTTGGTAGTGTGGAGTTCCCCATAGATGCTAGAAGCAAAGGGAGGAGGGAATCGGAGAGCTAAGGAAGTAATTGGCCTCTCAGTTTTTAATAGATCCAAAGGGGAAGAAAGGGAGGGGAGGAAAACGGGATATACATAGTGGTAAAGGGGAGACCAATCCATAGCTAGTGTCCCTTAAAGGGGAAAGGGTGGTAGGGTAGAGACCCTTTTTTTTTTTTTTTGAAACGTTGCCTGGGGCATCACTGCCAGCCGTAGGATACCAACACCCCTGCCAGACGAACGATAATTGTTATTATTATCGGTTTTGGGGAGCTAAAAATGCGTAGTTAGGGGGCTGTACAGCGCCTAGAAAACGGGAGACAATCAGAATTGGTCCAAGAAAGGGGATGCCAGCCTCCAGATCCTCGGATCAACCACTCAGAGATGCACCGGAGTCATCAAGAGAGAAATGAGCCATACCGAGAGAGTAGCTGAGGATGAAATTCAACTACTCTAGCTAACTGTCGGCAACTTTTTAGGAGTACCAATGAAATCTAACACGGAAATCTGTTTAGTCTACAAAAAAAAGCATTTGTTTGTCTAAAAGTAGACCCCAAGATGCTTCCCTCCTTGCTGTTTATGTTGTTTATATATATATATATATATATATATATATATATATATATATATATATATATATATATATATATATATATATATATATATATATATATATAATATGTGGTAGTTCATCACTAACAGTTGCTTCTGCTATGGAGATTTAACTACTAAAATTATATTAAAAATTTTAATTACTATAACAATATATTATAATTTTATCGTTTTTTTTTGAGCAAATCAGAGAGAAAAAAAACTGTTTTATGTTAGCTATTGGAAAAAAGTGACGCTTAGTCCCTCCCACCTCCATCCAGCAACAAGTTGATTGATCATCCATCTCCACTACCTGTCATTCCATGTCATCAGCTGAATATTTAACTCCAGCTTTTGTGGTATCCGCCTTTAGTGCACCTTAGAGTACCGCTTAAGCCGCTACATTAACCTTAAGTCTAGTGAGTGGAAAAGGGACGTATGTGCCACTTAAGCTTCGCTGTTAAACATTTTAAGCTCTGTTAAGCTCTCTTTTAAAGCTTCTATATATAGGTTTTTTTTTTGAGGGGATGGTAAATGCGATTCAAAATAATCTCCAAAATTGATTACACGTGGAAGTCTTGATAGTACATTTAAGAATACATAACCCTTTATACTCAGTTTTTGCATGTACTCTTCAACTCCATGTACCAAAATTGCACTACTGTTTACAGAAGAGCTTAATAATATCTAATTATCATCATCTCTAGTATCAAAAAATTATTATTATTATTATTATTATACCCGTGATATAATTATTGTTCGCATCACGAGAATGCAGGTAATGTGTTTGATAGAATTTGTAGCGACTATTTCTAGTGTTTCTATGTGAATTTAATAGATTTCTAAGCATTCTAGAGTGCTATAGTAAGCCACTGATTATTGCACACATGTTTGCGTTTGATGGTTACTAGGAGAAAGAGAGGCTGAGTTAGACATTAGTGTCCCTAGTCGACTCTTAGAAATGAATCTGTCATGGTGCCATTGTCGACTATGTTTGCTAGGTGGTGTCAGTTTTGTTTTACCTAAGTGCCATAGTGGAATATGTGTGCACGCAGGTAGACTATGGCACTTCCAATGGGTGCCATAATCGACGGTGTAGTTTCAGGGTGGGTGACAAATTCGAGAGTGAAAGCCTTGAAAGTGCCATAGTCGATGATGGGTAACTTAGAGTGCCACGGCACTGTTATGAAATTCTCACTGGATGTTAGCAAATGAAAGTGGCCCTGTTGCAAATTGCCACGGTAGATGTTGTTACCAACAGACACCGCGATAGGCAGTGTGCCACTGTTAATTCCCCATAGCCGGATAATTCACACTGTTAATGCACCATAATCGCCTGTTTGTGTTACTAAAGCAACGTTTACTAAACAGAAGCTACGTTATCTATCGCGTACCGTCAGACAGCTCCCGTAGGCGACAATGGTACTTAGCAGACCTCTAGTAAGGTAATTATTGTAACATAGAGAGTGATAGGTTAGATGTGTGTGTGTCTGTCTTGTCTGAAACAAGAATATCCACGCAGGCTCGGCAAGAAGAAGAGGAAGAAGCAAGAATCAAGAAGCAAGAGGAGGAAGAGAGGGTAAAGAAACAGAGAGAAGAGCAGTCAAGGTTAGAGAAGGAGAAGAAGCAAAAGGAAGAGAAGGAAAGGATTGAAAAGGAGAGAAAAGAGAAAGAAGAGAGAGACAGAAAAGAAAAGGAAAGGCTTGAAAAGGAGAGAAAGAGAAAGAAGAGAGAGAAAGAAAAGAAAAGGAAAGGCTTGAAAAGGAGAGAAAAGAGAAAGAAGAGAAAGAAAGAAAGGAGAAAGAAGAGAAGGAAAGGCTAGAAAAGGAGAGAAAAGAGAAAGAAGAGAGAGAAAGAAAAGAAAAGGAAAGGCTTGAAAAGGAGAGAAAAGAGAAAGAAGAGAAGGAAAGGCTTGAAAGGGAGAGAAAAGAGAAAGAAGAGAGAGAAAGAAAAGAAAAGGAAAGGCTTGAAAGGGAGAGAAAAGAGAAAGAAGAGAAGGAAAGGCTAGAAAGGGAGAGAAAAGAGAAAGAAGAGAGAGAAAGAAAAGAAAAGGAAAGGCTTGAAAGGGAGAGAAAAGAGAAAGAAGAGAAGGAAAGGCTTGAAAGGGAGAGAAAAGAGAAAGAAGAGAGAGAAAGAAAAGAGAAAGAAGAGAAGGAAAGACTAGAAAGGGAGAGAAAAAAGAAAAAAGGAAAGGCTAGAAAGGGAGAGAAAAGAGAAAGAAGAGAGAGAAAGAAAAGAAAAGGAAAGGCTTGAAAGGGAGAGAAAAGAGAAAGAAGAGAGAGAAAGAAAAGAGAAAGAAGAGAAGGAAAGGCTTGAAAGGGAGAGAAAAGAGAAAGAAGAGAGAGAAAGAAAAGAAAAGGAAAGGCTTGAAAGGGAGAGAAAAGAGAAAGAAGAGAGAGAAAGAAAGGAGAAAGAAGAGAGAGAAAGAAAGGAGAAAGAAGAGAAGGAAAGACTAGAAAGGGAGAGAAAAGAGAAAGAAGAGAAGGAAAGGCTAGAAAGGGAGAGAAAAGAGAAAGAAGAGAGAGAAAGAAAGGAGAAAGAAGAGAGAGAAAGAAAAGAAAAGGAAAGGCTAGAAAGGAGAGAAAAGAGAAAGAAGAGAGAGAAAGAAAGGAGAAAGAAGAGAGAGAAAGAAAAGAAAAGGAAAGGCTAGAAAGGGAGAGAAAAGAGAAAGAAGAGAGAGAAAGAAAGGAGAAAGAAGAGAAGGAAAGGCTTGAAAGGGAGAGAAAAGATAAAGAAGAGAGAGAAAGAAAAGAAAAGGAAAGGCTAGAAAGGGAGAGAAAAGAGAAAGAAGAGAGAGAAAGAAAAGAGAAAGAAGAGAAGGAAAGACTAGAAAGGGAGAGAAAAGAGAAAGAAGAGAGAGAAAGAAAAGAAAAGGAAAGGCTTGAAAGGGAGAGAAAAGAGAAAGAAGAGAGAGAAAGAAAAGAGAAAGAAGAGAAGGAAAGGCTAGAAAGGGAGAGAAAAGAGAAAGAAGAGAGAGAAAGAAAAGAAAAGGAAAGGCTAGAAAGGGAGAGAAAAGAGAAAGAAAGAAAAGAGAAAGAAGAGAAGGAATAGGCTTGAAAAGGAGAGAAAAGAGAAAGAAGAGAGAGAAAGAAAAGAGAAAGAAAGAAGGAAAGGCTAGAAAGGGAGAGAAAGAGAAAGAAGAGAGAAAGAAAAGAAAAGGAAAAGGCTAGAAAGGGAGAGAAAAGAGAAAGAAGAGGAGAAAGAAAAGAGAAAGAAGAGAAGGAAAGCTAGAAAGGGAGAGAAAAGAGAAAGAAGAGAGAGAAAGAAAAGATAAAGAAGAGAAGGAAAGGCTTGAAAGAGAGAGAAAAGAGAAAGAAGAGAGAGAAAGGAAAGAAAGAAGAGAAAGAGAGGAAAACAAAGAAGAAAAAGAAAGGAAAGAAAAACGAGGATAAAGAAAGAAAACTAAGAGAGGAGAAAGATAGACTCCAGAGAAGAAAAAGAGAGAAAAGAGAAGGAAGAGAAAGAAAGAAAAGTAAAGGAAGAAAAGGAGAAGAAAGAAAAGGAAGAGAAAGAAAGAAGGGAAAAGGAAGAGAAAAAGAAAAGAAGCAAAAGGAAAAGGAAGGAAGAAGAAGGCAGAGAGAGGAAAGGCAAAGAAGGAACAGGAAGAAAAGAGAGAAAGGAAAAGCAGGAAAAAGAGAGAAAGGTGAAAGAAGAGAAGGAAAAACAAGAGAAAGAGAGAAAGGAAAAAGAGAGAGTCCAAAAGAAGAGAGGACCAGAAGTTAAAGCCAAAGCCATGGACAAGCTACTCGAAGACCAATCCAAGGATTCGGACTCTTCCATCGAAGACGCTTTCGAGATGATGGTCCAGGAGGCCGGACAGGACGACGAGGAGGAGCAGGAGGTAGAGGAGTTCTGGGCAGGAAGAGACGTAGCCTCTCCAGAAGTCACCAAGGAAGCCCCAGAAGCCAAGACCAAGGAAGCCAAGGGCGAAGAAGCCAAGATCGGGAAAGTCGAGGAGGTCAAGCCGATGGAAGCCTCGAAGTCGGTAAAGAAAGAAGATAACTCACTCTCGTTTAATCCTTCTCGTTTAATTTTAATTTTCTCCAATTATCTTTTCTTATTATTTTATCATTTTTGGCATTTCCATCTCTGATTGTTTTTTTTTTTTTGTTTCTCCGTTTATTGCTTACCTTTTTATTTTGTGTCACTCGTTTTGTCCTTATTCCATCTTCATCCTCGAATCTCGGTGGCCTGGTTTGACTCGCCCGTCTTCAGTAGACAACCTGTGAAATGCCCCATTCTCTAGCATTGAAACTGCCATTGTGTTACTTTACTACTGCTTAATGAGCTATTAACTAACTATAAACCATAATTTATATATATATATATATATATATATATATATATATATATATATATATATATATATATATATATATATATACAATTGACGGGCCTGTCAGATAAGGACTTCTGTACAGTGTTGCCTAAGTTTATTATTATTATTATTATTATTATTATTATTATTATTATTATTATTTTGAATTTAGTATTAACTATATTTAACACTTATTTTTATCTTACTAAGTTGTGCTATGGATGTAACTTGCTGTTAATGTTGATATTTTAACTAATTAAAATATACCAGGAGATTGTGAGGTTAGGTATATATAAGCTGGTTATGTACCTCGTTCTGGTTCACAAAACTGTGTATTATTTGTAAGAGTGAGAATGCAACAATTTACATGCATAGTGCATTGTTTAGTGTATATTCCTACACAAAACTGTCAGGTGTACTGAATTTTTTTTGTTTGGGGGACTGGGGGAGAGGGGAATAAACTGTGGCAACACGGGTCAGTTCTTAGATTTTTGTTCCCTGCCCGGTACGTAACGATACCGGATTCGAGGTGTTTTTCCCTCTCCCTGTTTTCTTCCTTATTTATCAGATATGTTTTCTCCCTCTCTCGTTTATTGTCGATTGTGTTTTTTTTTTTTTTTGGTCTTTCTTGTGCAGATTGTAGTGCATCGTGTTTGTTCATAATTATAAAGAAAATAAAAACAGAAAATGTTTTAAAAACTTCAGATATGAATTGCTTGTTTGTATTTCGAGTGTTGCTTGTTATAATTAATGCTGAATTGCGTGTGTGTGTGTGTGTGTGTGTGTGTGTGTGTGGTGTGATTTATGTATTATTGCCTTACTTAACAAAATGTGGAATATCTGGTAAGTTCTCCAGACACTCTTTCTCATAGCAGTTTGAAGATTTTTTCCCAAGGAAATTCAGTGATTTCTCTCAGTACTCAACAGTTTTCCCAAGTATACACAATATTTTGTTAGCTACACAGCATTCTCAACCGGTATTCTGTATTCTCCCACGGTACACATTATTCTCCCACGGTACACAGTATTCTCCCACGGTACACATTATTCTCCCACGGTACACAGTATTCTCCCACGGTACACAGTATTCTCCCACGGTACACAGTATTCTCCCACGGTACACAGTATTCTCCCACGGTACACAGTATTCTCCCACGGTACACAGTATTCTCCCACGGTACACAGTATTCTCACACGGTACACAGTATTCTCCCACGGTACATAGTATTCTCCCACGGTACACATTATTCTCCCACGGTACACAGTATTCTCACACGGTACACAGTATTCTCCCACGGTACACAGTATTCTCCCACGGTACACAGTATTCTCCCACGGTACACAGTATTCTCCCACGGTACACAGTATTCTCCCACGGTACACAGTAATCCTCCCACGGTACACAGTATTCTCCCACGGTAGCACAGTATTCTTCACGGTACACAGTATTCTCCCACGGCACGTACACACAGTATTCTCCCACGTACACAGTATTCTCCCACGGTACACAGTATTCTCCCACGGTACACAGTATTCTCCCACGGTACACAGTATTCTCCCACGGTACACAGTATTCTCCCACGGTACACAGTATTCTCCCACGGTACACAGTATTCTCCTACGGTACACAGTATTTTCCTACGGTATCCAGTATTCTCCCACCCCACGGTACACAGTATTCTCCTACGGTACACAGTATTTTCCCACGGTGCGCAGTATTCTTTCACGGTACTCAGAATTCTTCCACGGCACCTAGTATTCTCTCACAGCACCCAGTATTCTCCCACAGTACACAGTATTCTCCCACGTTACCCATATTCTCTCACGGTACACAGTATTCTCCCACGGCACTCAGTATTTTCCCACGCACACAGTATTCTCTCACAGCGCCCAGTATTCTCCCACAGTACACAGTATTCTCCCACGTTACCCAGTATTCTCCCACGGTACACAGTATTCTCCCACGGCACCCAGTATTTTCCCACGGCACACAGTATTCTCTCACAGCACCCAGTATTCTCTCACGGTACACAGTATTCGCTCACGGCACGCAGGTTTCTCCCAAGGTACACAGTATTTTCCCACAGCACCCAGTATTTTCCCATGGTACACAGTATTCTCCCACAGCACCAGTATTCCCACACGGTACACGGTATTCTCTCACGGCACCCAGAATTCTCCCACGGCACCCAGTATTCTCCCACATAAACTGGATATGTATCTATCACCAGCCCCTGACGTCTGCTCCCTTCCCACGCCCCTAACTTCCCTATAACACTCCATTTCTAATAATAATCACCCTAACTTACCCACTCTTATGTCATCTGTCAGCCTGTGGTCTGTCAGGATATACCTCTCTCTCTCTCTCTCTCTCTCTCTCTCTCTCATACACACCCAGTCTTACTTATCATAGGAGATCTTAGTCCTCAAAGTTATACTTCTACCTACACACCGTCTAACTTCTTGCAAACAGTTTTGATCTACCAAGATAGCTTATTATCTTCTCCCTGTCTAACTTAAACATTTGTTATCCTCTCGAGGTCTAACTAAAATGCCGGGCTAATGCTTCACTAACACCCTGAGTAACCCAGCACTGTTCAGGTTCTGTGCCTTTGAGTAGTATTGTACCTTTGTTGTGTTGTGGTGTTGTGATCCTCACATTAAATTGGATGATGTCGATGACCTTGAGAATACAGGTCTGTTACTCCCCCTTTTTTTAAACATAAACACATTAGGTGACCAATATTGAGCATTGGGAGATAGAACATTAAAACACTTTGAAAGATAAAGATAATGTCCTGGTTTATAAACCTCTTGATAGTTATTATTGAAGACGGAACTAAACCACGTATTCTTAAGAGTTGTTGGTTGATGTATTCATACATAGCAAGAGTTCATTCATACATGTCAGCACATACATATACATAGACGCACTTTATGTACACACACACACCACCCCACACACACACACACACACACACACACACACACACACACAGTACCTAAAAAGGCTGCTAAACCAGTTCCAGTTAGGTGATCTGGAAAACTTTGTTTATTCCAGGAGAAACCAAAACCGGCCGCCGAACCCACGAAACCCAGCGGGTCTGCCAAACCTGAAACCGGAAATACCAGAGCTGCCTAAGCTTGTTGTGCCTACGGTCGAAGCCCCGAAGCCTGAGGTCAAGCCGGAAGTCAAGCCGGAAGTTAAGCCGGAAGTAAAGCCGACACTCACCAAACTAACGACATCTAAGAAAATGGACGAACCAACAAGTAAGTCCAAGTCTTGTTGACGTCCGTAGACGTACGTGCGTAGGGTGACTGGTAATGGTCACAGTGATCCATGGATCACTGTGACCATTACCATGGATCACTGTGACCAGCACCATGGATCACTGTGAACAGTACCATGGATCACTGTGACCAGTACCATGGATCACTGTGACCAGTACCATGGATCACTGTGACCAGCACCATGGATCACTGTGAACAGTACCATGGGTCACTGTGACCAGCACCATATATCACTGTCACCAGCACCATGGATCACTGTGAACAGTACCATGGATCACTGTGACCAGTACCATGGATCACTGTGACCCACCATCATGGTGTGGATCACTGTGACCACCACCATGGAATTAGATCGAGTGTACAACACAATGAGTGAACTCACAGTGGCCCATGGTACTGGTCACTCTGATCCATAGTGCTGGTCACAGTGATCCATAGTACTGGCCACATTTTTACCCACTTCCCATCTCTCAGAAGAATTTAAACACTGATAGGTATGTCACTCAGTGTACATACACTGAGAAGTGTCTCTTACTGTATATACACAGAGAGGTATCCAATATTATCACAGTAAACAGATATCAGATTATGCAAAAATAGTGAGCATCAAAGCTATTCTGTAATTTCTCACATTATTAACGACCTGTAAGATTACTAGACCAGTAGAAGGCTTATAAGGCTGAGATATCCCCTCACATATGGTATTACACTCGTCCCAATACGGAAAGGTGTATATCTCAGTGTATACTTGAGGTAACACGCAGTCGATAGACTGTAAGCCTCCATTAACCAACCAACTCTTCCATCTAGATATTTTTCCCATAATAAACACAATAAATATAACACTTAACATTATTGTTTATCTCCCGTAGCTCCGTTCACTCCCGGGGGAACGCCCAAGCCAGTGTTTACCAAGACTCTCAGAGGAGAAGTTGTTGAACGTAAGTATTTGTATTGTTCAGTCTTCCTTGTGGGGCACTAGTGTTGAAATGTTTTAGTTTATAATGGTGGTGTTTGAGATATTTAGTCTACCTGGTACAGTGGTGGTGCTTGTAATGTTTAGTCTACCTGGTACAGTGGTGTTGTTTGTAATGTTTAGTGTACCTGGTACTGTGGTGGTGCTTGGAATGTTTAGTCTACCTGGTACAGTGGTGGTGCTTGTAATGTTTAGTCTACCTGGTACAGTGGTGGTGCTTGTAATGTTTAGTCTACCTGGTACTGTGGTGGTGCTTGTAATGTTTAGTCTACCTGGTACTGTGGTGGTGCTTGTAATGTTTAGTGTACCTGGTACTGTGGTGGTGCTTGTAAAGTTTAGTCTACCTGGTACTGTGGTGGTGCTTGGAATGTTTAGTCTAACTGGTACAGTGGTGGTGCTTGTAATGTTTAGTCTACCTGGTACAGTGGTGGTGCTTGTAATGTTTAGTCTACCTGGTACAGTGGTGGTGCTTGTAATGTTTAGTCTACCTGGTACTGTGGTGGTGCTTGTAATGTTTAGTCTACCTGGTACTGTGGTGGTGCTTGTAATGTTTAGTCTACCTGGTACAGTGGTGGTGCTTGTAATGTTTAGTCTACCTGGTACAGTGGTGGTGCTTGTAATGTTTAGTCTACCTGGTACTGTGGTGGTGCTTGTAATGTTTAGTCTACCTGGTACTGTGGTGGTGCTTGTAATGTTTAGTGTACCTGGTACTGTGGTGGTGCTTGTAATGTTTAGTCTACCTGGTACAGTGGTGGTGCTTGTAATGTTTAGTCTACCTGGTACAGTGGTGGTGCTTGGAATGTTTAGTCTACCTGGTACAGTGGTGGTGCTTGTAATGTTTAGTCTACCTGGTACAGTGGTGGTGCTTGTAATGTTTAGTCTACCTGGTACAGTGGTGGTGCTTGTAATGTTTAGTCTACCTGGTACTGTGGTGGTGCTTGTAATGTTTAGTCTACCTGGTACAGTGGTGGTGCTTGTAATGTTTAGTCTACCTGGTACAGTGGTGGTGCTTGTAATGTTTTAGTCTACCTGGTACAGTGGTGGTGCTGGAATGTTTAGTCTACCTGGTACTGTGGTGGTGCTTGTAATGTTTAGTCTACCTGGTACTGTGGTGGTGCTTGTAATGTTTAGTCTAACTGGTACAGTGGTGGTGCTTGTAATGTTTAGTCTACCTGGTACAGTGGTGGTGCTTGTAATGTTTAGTCTACCTGGTACTGTGGTGGTGCTTGTAATGTTTAGTCTACCTGGTACTGTGGTGGTGCTTGTAATGTTTAGTCTACCTGGTACAGTGGTGGTGCTTGTAATGTTTAGTCTACTTGGTACAGTGGTGGTGTTTGTAATGTTTAGTCTACCTGGTACAGTGGTGGTGCTTGGAATGTTTAGTCTACCTGGTACAGTGGTGGTGCTTGGAATGTTTAGTCTACCTGGTACAGTGGTGGTGCTTGGAATGTTTAGTCTACCTGGTACAGTGGTGGTGCTTGTAATGTTTAGTCTACCTGGTACAGTGGTGGTGCTTGGAATGTTTAGTCTACCTGGTACAGTGGTGGTGCTTGGAATGTTTAGTCTACCTGGTACAGTGGTGGTGCTTGGAATGTTTAGTCTACCTGGTACAGTGGTGGTGCTTGTAATGTTTAGTCTACCTGGTACAGTGGTGGTGCTTGGAATGTTTAGTCTACCTGGTACAGTGGTGGTGCTTGGAATGTTTAGTCTACCTGGTACAGTGGTGGTGCTCGTAATGTTTAGTCTACCTGGTACAGTGGTGGTGCTCGTAATGTTTAGTCTACCTGGTACAGTGGTGGTGCTCGTAATGTTTAGTCTACCTGGTACAGTGGTGGTGCTTGTAATGTTTAGTCTACCTGGTACAGTGGTGGTGCTTGTAATGTTTGTCTACCTGGTACAGTGGTGGTGCTTGTAATGTTTAGTCTACCTGGTACAGTGGTGGTGCTTGTAATGTTTAGTCTACCTGGTACAGTGGTGGTGCTTGTAATGTTTAGTCTACCTGGTACAGTGGTGGTGCTTGTAATGTTTAGTCTACCTGGTACAGTGGTGGTGCTTGTAATATTTAGTCTACCTGGTACAGTGGTGGTGCTTGTAATGTTTAGTCTACCTGGTACTGTGGTGGTGCTTGTAATGTTTAGTCTACCTGGTACTGTGGTGGTGCTTGTAATGTTTAGTCTAACTGGTACAGTGGTGGTGCTTGTAATGTTTAGTCTACCTGGTACAGTGGTGGTGCTTGTAATGTTTAGTCTACCTGGTACTGTGGTGGTGCTTGTAATGTTTAGTCTACCTGGTACTGTGGTGGTGCTTGTAATGTTTAGTCTACCTGGTACAGTGGTGGTGCTTGTAATTTTTAGTCTACTTGGTACAGTGGTGGTGTTTGTAATGTTTAGTCTACCTGGTACAGTGGTGGTGCTTGGAATGTTTAGTCTACCTGGTACAGTGGTGGTGCTTGGGAATGTTTAGTCTACCTGGTACAGTGGTGGTGCTTGGAATGTTTAGTCTACCTGGTACAGTGGTGGTGCTTGTAATGTTTAGTCTACCTGGTACAGTGGTGGTGCTTGGAATGTTTAGTCTACCTGGTACAGTGGTGGTGCTTGGAATGTTTAGTCTACCTGGTACAGTGGTGGTGCTTGGAATGTTTAGTCTACCTGGTACAGTGGTGGTGCTTGTAATGTTTAGTCTACCTGGTACAGTGGTGGTGCTTGGAATGTTTAGTCTACCTGGTACAGTGGTGGTGCTTGGAATGTTTAGTCTACCTGGTACAGTGGTGGTGCTCGTAATGTTTAGTCTACCTGGTACAGTGGTGGTGCTCGTAATGTTTAGTCTACCTGGTACAGTGGTGGTGCTCGTAATGTTTAGTCTAACCTGGTACCAGTGGTGGTGCTTGTAATGTTTAGTCTACCTGGTACAGTGGTGGTGCTTGTAATGTTTAGTCTACCTGGTACAGTGGTGGTGCTTGTAATGTTTAGTCTACATGGTACAGTGGTGGTGCTTGTAATGTTTAGTCTACCTGGTACTGTGGTGGTGTTTGTAATGTTTAGTCTACCTGGTACTGTGGTGGTGCTTGTAATGTTTAGTCTACCTGGTACAGTGGTGGTGCTTGTAATGTTTAGTCTACCTGGTACAGTGGTGGTGCTTGTAATGTTTAGTCTACCTGGTACAGTGGTGGTGCTTGTAATGTTTAGTCTACCTGGTACAGTGGTGGTGCTTGTAATGTTTAGTCTACCTGGTACAGTGGTGGTGCTTGTAATGTTTAGTCTACCTGGTACAGTGGTGGTGCTTGTAATGTTTAGTCTACCTGGTACTGTGGTGGTGCTTATAATGTTTAGTCTACCTGGTACAGTGGTGGTGCTTGTAATGTTTAGTCTACCTGGTACAGTGGTGGTGCTTGTAATGTTTAGTCTACCTACTACTGCCATACCTTACCTTTCATGAGTTTCGAGAGTCTTTCTACTCCCGGAGCCCGGCCATGGGCCAGGCTTGTCTGATGCTTGCCCAGTCAACCAGGCTGTTGCTGCTGCTGGTGGCCCACTGCCCCACATATCCATGACAGCCTGGTTGATCCAGCACCTGGTGAGGATACCTATCCAGTTGGTGTCGTGTTTATAAACACAAGGAAGAAAAAAATCAAAATTGAACAGTAATGATTTATCTGTGTACACTATTCAACACTTATATTCATTAACTCGTGTTTTGTTGTGTATCGGTTAGGTTAAGTTCGCCAGGAAACAAAAGTGTTTCCTGACACCTGTCTTAGGACTTGTATATAATAATAATTTGTTTATTTAGTACAAGTACAAGGTATACAGACCATAGCTGACATCAGTGAGATACAAAGTCTCTTGTTATGCTGAGTATTTCCCGCAAATTAGGTCAGTTTTGTCCCAGGATGCGACCCACCCCAGTTCACTAACACCCAGGTACCTATTTACTGATGGGTGAACATAGATAACAGGTATTAAGAAACACACCCAATGTTTCTACCCTGGCTGGGAATCGAACCCAGACCCTCGCCGTGTGAAGCGAGAACTTTAGCCACCAGACCACCAGATACAGTGTATTCTTCCATTAGTTTTACTCTGAGTGTTTGTAGTTCATATATTTGCTAAAGTACTAAGAATATCTTTTTTTTGGCTTTTCCCATCGAGATTTATTTACTAAGAATACATTCTTTATGTATAAAAATACATTCTTAATGTATAAAAATACATTCTTAATGTATAAAAATACATTCTTAATGTATAAAAAATACATTCTTAATGTATAAAAATACATTCTTAATGCATAAAAATACATTCTTAATGTATAAAAATACATTCTTAATGTATAAAAATACATTCTTAATGTATAAAAATACATTCTTAATGCATAAAAATACATTCTTAATGTATAAAAATACATTCTTAATGTATAAAAATACATTCTTAATGTATAAAAATACATTCTTAATGTATAAAAAATACATTCTTAATGTATAAAAAACATTCTTAATGTATAAAAATACATTCTTAATGTATAAAAATACATTCTTAATGTATAAAAATACATTCTTAATGCATAAAAATACATTCTTAATGTATAAAAATACATTCTTAATGTATAAAAATACATTCTTTACGTATAAAAATACATTATGTATAAAAATACATTCTTTACGTATAAAAATACATTATGTATAAAAATACATTCTTTATGTATAATGTATAAGAATACATTGTTTATTTAAAAGAATACATAGGCTGTGTGATGCTAGATGTGAACAGTGTCACCCCGGCTTGAACATGTCCCCCTTAACACCTCTTCCCACCCCCCCACTCCTCTTCCCATCCATCATCTCTCACCCATGGAGGAACTTCCGGGAGAAGACTCATGGATGTTGATATGTTATTTCATCCATTTTTTTGGTCCCATTGGATTCTTCATTATAATTTTCCCCTCTTAGATCATTTTTCGTTTTCAGTGGACCAGGTTATGTAGTTTAAATTTGGGAATTACAAGGAGGCCAAACAAGTATATTGACACAATAATAATAATAATAATAATAATAATAATAATAATAATAAATGTAATATCTGTTATTAATAACAATAATAATATTTAATATTTGTCATATTAATAATACTAATAAATTAATTTAAATGGTTATAACTGACCATAATTTTTAAAGGGATGAACCATCGACACCATGCCCAGCCCTTCTAGGGTAGGGTCATCGACACCATGCCTAACCCTCCTAGGGTAGGGTAGGTGCCTGAGCCCGAGCCTTTAGCTCACAAGACTGTCATTCCCATTTGCCCCCTTGGGGCGGGGATGATAGACCAGAGAGGCCTAGCTTGTGGCTAGGCCTGGGGACAGTTGGTCCCAAAGATGAGGAGCTACTTGTGCCTCCTCCCATGGGAGACTTAGGTCTCAGACACTCCCTAAAGAGGGAGCCAAGGCCGGGCCACCACTTGGAAAAGGCCCGGGCCGGGAGAATACCGGCGAATCTTTAATAATAATAAAGGGATGGACCGGTAAGCCAGCGGAAGGCATCGGGCAGATGACCAAAAGATGGATCATCCTGTGACTAAGACCCGCGTCAGGAAACACATGTCCTGTTTCCTGACGACTTACCTAAGCTAACCTAATAATAGTAATTTTAAATATCTATCATTAATAATAATAATAATATCTAATATATAATAATAATAATAATTATTATTATTATTATCATATTTAGCTTTTGTAAGGACGAGAGTTATTAACTAAGCAACATTTCAGGACTATTGAGAATACAGGAGTCTGGAGAAGTTGTTGCCCTGTCTGACATAGAACGTACGTAAACACCAGAAATCATTATCACTGCTTTTTCACCTCTACTGCAGTTTCTGCCTACATTACATTTTCTTCACAGAAAAATCTGAAATGTTCAACAGAAAATGGGATGTTATATTTGAAGGGTTTATAAGTTTGTGTGTATTAGATTACATTTTCTGTTACGTATATTTTTGGGGGGGGGGGATCTAAAAGTTCCTGGTAATGAATATACATGTATATGGTTTTGGTTATATGATATCAGTAAAAAAATATATATTGCATTCCATTTTCTGTTCATAAAGCCGAATCTTTGTCTTGTATAATTCACTTTGTCAAACTATTTTGTCTAATTTTTTTAATAACTCATGAATAGCAAGGGAAAATAGAAAAAAAATATATAGCATTTGATTATGGTTAGAAATACACACAAGAAATAATCTTAACAACGTTACAATATTCCAGAATGACTTACATTCTGTTAAAGAATGTCCTAAATCATTATGGTGTTCCAGAATGACTTACATTCTGTTTAAGAACGTCCTAAAGTCATTATGGTGTTCTAGAATGACTTACATTCTGTTTAAGAATGTCCTAAATCATTATGGTGTTCCAGAATGACTTACATTCTGTTTAAGAACGTCCTAAAGTCATTATGGTGTTCTAGAATGACTTACATTCTGTTTAAGAATGTCCTAAAGTCATTATGGTGTTCTAGAATGACTTACATTCTGTTTAAGAACGTCCTAAAGTCATTATGGTGTTCCAGAATGACTTACATTCTGTTTAAGAACGTCCTAAAGTCATTATGGTGTTCTAGAATGACTTACATTCTGTTTAAGAACGTCCTAAAGTCATTATGGTGTTCCAGAATGACTTACATTCTGTTTAAGAACGTCCTAAAGTCATTATGGTGTTCTAGAATGACTTACATTCTGTTAAGAATGTCGTAAAGTCATTATGGTGTTCTAGAATGACTTACATTCTGTTAAGAATGTCGTAAAGTAGCTGTGATGTATTTAAATTTTTTAAAGATAGATCAATTTAGTGTCCACGCTCTTCATGGGAACTAATAAATACATCTATCTCCTTACATTTCAATGCTTCCAAGTAACGTTGTTACAGAAGCTAAGCTGCGACGTAGGTATTATCTCCTGCAGTAAATGTAGACAGTTGGACAGAGAACTCCAGTGAGGTGATATCTATGTGTATGTGGGTATGACAGGAGCTGATTCTCACCTGTTTATTCTCTAGAGCAGTGATCTCCAGACTTTTAGTATGAAAGGGCCAATCTGAAACTTCAGATTTAAAAGGAGGGCTGTGATAAGGTTTGGCGTAAAATGGCTTGAAAAATTTTGTATGGTTTGACACTGTGCAGTTTGGAGTCTACAGGAAAGTGGATTCATAATTTTACTGTAGGTCCCAGTCATTACCTAGAAGGGCCGCAGGTTCTATAATATTTAATTCTTGTCTGGAATATTACAAATGGTTGGTCTTTAGGTATCACTGTGTGATTAATTTCTCCTGTTTAGTAGCCAACATAGCTCACGCAATCGTAATAACGATTGTAAACAAACCAGGGAACGGGTAGAGTTTGAACCCATGGCGAGTGAGTCGTATAAAACTCCAGGCCAGTACGTTAACCACTGGGCCACTAGGCCCGTTCTGTGGCTAGCCAACATACAGTATATATTATTATCTCATAGACTTTGATCTGTAAGCCAAAAGTTAATTGAATTTATGAGGTTTGAAAGATGGACATGACTCGATTTAAAAGAGAGGAGTGATTGCTTACTGGGTCTAGCCTGCCATGATGCCAAGTTTATCGATGGATCTTATTATAGAGACTGTTCTCCAACTTCCCTCTCTTACCCTTCCCAAAGGTAAATAGTTGAATAGTTATGGGGACTAGGAAGTCACAATATAGTTACTGGAACAATTCACAAATAACCCGCATATAGGAGAATAAGACTTATAACTACGTTACAACCAGACATGGTCCATTAACTAGTTACATGTGTGACCAATTAATGGTTCAGGCCAGACCGGAACGTTTTCTAATGTCATAGTGTTTGCTTACATGTATTTCTAAACCACCCTCATTATTATTATTATTATAA